AAGTTTGAAAGCTTAATGACTTTGAAAGCTTGACCAATGTCTGATTTTATTGATATCGGGTCCGTATTTTAGTTTCAGAACCCGGTATAGGTCCAATACTATATTTATGACTTGTTTGTCAAATTTGGTGAGAAACGAAGTTGGTTTGACGTGATTCGGACGTCCGGTTGTGAAATTTGAAGTTCATGAGTTTTTCTTAAAAATTTTCTTTGATTTGATGCTAAATTCATAGTTTTAGGTATTATTTTGGCGATTTGATCACGCGAGCAAGTTCGTATGATGTTTTTACACTTGTGTGCATATTTGGTTTAGAGTCCCAAGGGCTCGGGTGAGTTTCAGATAGGCTACAGAGTGGTTTAGACTTAGAACTCGTGTTCTGCAATTTTCTGGTATTGGTCTCTGATCTCGCAATTGCGAGATCAGTGTTCGCATCTGCGAACATCCCAAATTCTACCAGGCTCGCATTTGCGAGCAAATTCTTCGCATTTGCGAAGAGAACCTGGGTCAGCATAAGTTCGCATTTGCGATCAAGAAGTCGCAATTGCGGGGAGGCCAGAGTTCGCATTTGCAACCAACACTTTGCACTGGCGAAGTGAGGCTGGGGCAGGCTTGGTCGCCAATGCGGAAGATCAATATTCACAATTGCGAACAAGTCATCGCATTTACGATGAAAGTAGAGATGGGAAGAACTTCGCATTTGCGATGGTTTCTTCGGTTCGCAAATGCGACATCTGCAACTGATCAAAATGGGACTTAGACGGGATTTTGGTTCATTCTCTCAAATTTTCAAAATAAGAAACCCTAGAGGCAATTTTTCAAAGAATTTTTCTTCGCCATATCATTGGTAAGTGATTCTAAACTAATTTCTTTCAATCTTTCACTACATTTCCTAGGATTTCAAACTAAAATCTTGTGTTTTCATGGTGGAAATTAGGGGTTTTGGGTAGAATTAAGGATTTTTATAAAATGGGGATTTAGACCTCAAATTGAGGTCGGATTTCAAAATAAATTACATAACTGGGCTCGTGAGTGAATGGGTATTCATATTTTGTGACTTTTACCCGATTTCGAGATGTGGGTTCGGGGAGGCTTTTTGGGATAATTTTCTAATTTCTTGCTTTAGCTTTGATTTCATTAATTAAATTAGTTTCTTATAGTTGTATTTATGGTATGTAATTGATTTTGGCTAGATTTGGGCCATTCGAAGTCGGGTATTCGTGGAAAAGGTATTGTTACCAATTGATTGAACTTGGTTCGAGGTAAGTGGCTTGCCTAATCTTGTGTGAGGAAAATCCCCTTAGGATTTGGTACTGTTGTGATATGTGAGCGCCGTGTACGTGAGGTGACGAGTACATACTGTAAAACTCGATTTTTTACTGAGTATCATTCTGTTTTTCTTTTAAATTGAGTTATATCGTTTTAATGAGTATTAGTCTGTTTCCATTCTTATTTGAGCTATTCGAATATGTGTAGTTATCCTATTTAGTCTAATATCGCATGTTTACGTGCTTTAACTGCTTATTTGAAATCTGTGAAGCATGCCTAGTTGATTTTCGGTTTTCCTTGTTCTTTATTAGTATTAACTGTAGAAATCTTGTTTTTAACTGTTGTATTTATCGGTTTGAGCTCTGTGTTTACTTTTGAGAATACGAGGCGGTTCCTCAGGAGTTCTCTCTGCACATTTACTTTTGAGACTACGAGGCGGTACCTCGGGAGTTCTCCCTGCATGTTTACTTTTGGGACTACGAGGCGGTACCTCGGGAGATCCCCCTGCACATTTACTTTTAAGACTACGAGGCGGTATCTCGGGAGATCTCCTCACATATTTATTTTTGGGACTACGAGACGGTATCTCGGGAGATTCTCTGTTGAGTATTTATTTATTTTTGACTACGAGACGGTATCTCGGGAGCGCCCCTGTTGTTATCACATTGTGTTGTGTTATTATTTCTCTGTGAATTCTTTTTGTTAAATTTCCTGTTTTACTTCATTTTATTATATCATCTATCTTATTATTATATCCCAGTAGGGCCCGGACCTGACCTCGTCACTACTCTGCCGAGGTTAGATTTGGCACCTACTGGGTACCGTTGTGGTGTACTGATGCTACTCTTTTGCACATATTTTGTGTGCAGATCCAGGTGCTTCTTATCAGCCCCACTATTAGCTGAGAGTGCTTGCTATTGTACAGAGACTTCAAGGTAAATCTCCCGCATCCGCAAATCTCGGAGTCCCCCTCTATTCTCTCCTATGTCATTTACCTTCCGTATTTTTTTATTAGACTCTGGTGTATAGAGATTCTAGTTTCCTTCTGTAGCTTGTGACTTATGATGTTTCGGGTTTTGGGAATACTGTGTATTACTAGAGTATTGGTTATTGTACATGCCAAGCGGCATTGTTACTAGTTATTTAGTTATCTGTTGCAGTTAGTTGTTAAGTTTTACTTCCATTTTGTTATTTTCGCATTTTGTTAGGCTTACCTAGTCGTAGAGACTAGGTGCCGTCACGACGTCTTACGGAGGGAGAATTGGGTCGTGACAGTTAATATCTTTCTACTCGTGTGATTTATCTTTTCTTTATCTTTACTTAGTTTCTTTTACGTTATTGTAAAGTAGTTGATGGATCTATACTCTGGTCATCTTTCATGTTTTCTTAATTCATCACTATTTAAACAGTAAACTGTCTAGAGAGTTTTGCTAATTCCTATAAAAGTATGTATGTTATTGCATTCTACTTTTACTAGTGACTTTTACGTGACATTTAAAATATCAAAAATTAAACGATTCGTACCGATACCGAAGAGAAAGCGACATGATTGGGACGGTTTTGAAAAGTTTTATTTTGATTACACATAATAGAATAATCGAAAAATTGGTATGGTACAAATTATATAAAATAACTGACCGAACCGAATCATTGACACCCCTAATACATATTATTGAACAATATCAATAAGCATCTGCCTCTACTTGTTAGGATATGATCACACGAACATTAAAGGAGTAGTTAATAAGACCGAAATTAGCGTAAACTTTGGTAAATCTGAGCATGAATCTCCAGAGAGGAAGTTCAACTCTACTAACTTAAAACATAGAAAAGTTCTCTGACATTCTTCATTCGTTCAGTGGCTTTTTCGACAACTACTCAAACCATCGTGATAAACAATTATGGAAAAGATTTGATTTCTATAGTTTCGCGGGGAATAAAATGATTCCCCATCGGTTAATCATTTTTGTAATTAGACCGACGACTATATTGACCTTTGCTTAACTTTTATGTACTTATCAAGGTTAAAATTCACGAGTCTTAAAAATATCTACCGGTTCTCTGTTAGGTTTTTCAAGTTTATATGTGTTAAGAAACCACCTAAAGTTTGATTAAAGAAAAATCAAGGCAGTACTTTGTGTCATTTCTGGGTTCCCGCTTTATTCCAAACATGATGAGGATATGCAAACCAAAACTTATCCATCAAAGCTTTTGACTTAACTTTTTGGAAAAGGGCGTCCAATTTTTCTTTATTTTTTATATAACGGTGGTATCGGAGCTATCTTGTGCAAAACTCAAATATTAAAGGAAAAACAAGTAAAAGAGAATATAATTATGGATCCACCTACCTTTGATTTAAAGCACCCAAATAAGAACAGGCTAATAAAACCCCAATTTTTGACCTCTCCTAGTTTAGTCCCATAAGCTAGTACTAGTATTTCTCAAAACACTAATAAGTGCTTCCCTTAACTTCCTATTATGCTTAGAACTCTGTGATTGATGCGTTCCACGTAACTACATTTCACTCCGGAATTTCATCAAACATCTGACGAGCATCATCAGGTTTCTGACAAATGGCACATATGTGTGAGGTAAGTTTTTGTATGAATATCAGAAGAGAAACCAATTTGAAATTGCGTTACCGTGATGGGAATTTCCAACTTCTCCCCAACATAACTGAGCAACTGACTTGAGAACTGCTTTATCTTATATTTAGACGTACATTCTTTTATTGAATTGAGTTGTTGAAAGATCATCAATACTTACGGTGTGATATCCTTTTCTGTGTTTTTATCATGACTGTAAATTCTTCATCTTCGCACAAACTTTTATGTTGCTTCAGAGTTCGCTTTAATGTTGAATCCTCACAGTTTGTCTAGCTACTGATTTCAAGTTAATTTTTGGTTTCCGTTGTAATTCCAAGCATGATGAGGTTTGAGGACCTGATGGAAATTTGCAGATTAATCCATCATAGGTGGATAGGAGTTATACTCGGTATATATACATAAAAATAAATTTTTGGCCTAACTAATTTAAATACAAGGGCCAAATATAACCTTATACTTTCGAAAAGGGTTTAAATATAGCTTTCGTTATACTATGAGTCCAAATATATCCATGTCGCTATATTTTGGGTTCAAATATACCCCTCATTTAAACGGAGGGACACGTGTCATCGTCCTGTTGGCAAATTCTAAATATCTCCTAATTAATTAAAAAGACTCATACCCATAACCATACCCATTACCCATATCCGAAAAGTATTTTTCTAAAGCAATTTTTTTGTAAAAATTGAAAAAAAAAAAAAGATTCAACTAAAAAAACTAATACCCATGTAGTCCGCTACTTTAGGAAAGTCTTTTTTTTTTTCAGTTTTTAAAACAAAATATTTTTTTTTCAATTTTTACAAAAACATTGCTTTAAAAAAAACTGAAAAAAATGAAAAATATTTTTTTGTAAAAGCTGAAAAAAAGATTCAACAAAATATTTTCGTTTTTTTAAAACTAATGCACCTGTAGTCCACTCTTTTTTTTTCAGTTTCTATAACAAAATCTTTTTTTTTTTTTCAGTTTTTACAAAAAAATTGCTTTAAAAAAAATTGAAAAAACTGAAAAATATTTTTTTTGTAAAAACTGAAAAAAAAAAAAAAAAAAAAAAAAAAAAAAAGATTTTGTTTTAAAAACTAAAAAAAAGACTTTCCTAAAGTAGTGGACTACAGGTGCATTAGTTTTTTAAAAAATGAAAATATTTTGTTGAACCTTTTTTTTCTTTAGTTTTTACAAAAAAAATTGCTTTAGAAAATTGCTTTTCGGGTATGAGTAATTGGTATGGTTATGGGTATGAGTCTTTTTAATTAATTAGGAGATATTTAAAATTGGTCAACATGACGATGACATGTGTCCCTCCGTTTAAATGAGGGGTATATTTGAATACAAAGTATAGCGGCATGGGTATATTTGGACTCATAGTATAATGAATGGTATATTTAAACCTTTTTCGAAAGTACATGGGTATATTTGATCCTTTTCCAATTTAAAAATCTGATATTTAAAAATCCTTTTTATTGTCAAAAAATTGTTATTGGAGGAATCAAAAGTGAAATTACATATCGAATTAGAACTTCATATAATTGAGGGACTAAAACATTATTATACAAAATTAAATATTATAGCCAGCATTGTCGCCTTGCTATGCGGGAGCGGGCTGCTACGCCAAATGGTCACCATATTTTAAATCTTCTGCAAATCCTTTTAATTCATCATCTTTAACCATAGTCATAACAGATTTATTCCTAGCTAACCGATCATTCATTCTTCCAAAGTTTGATGCACTAATGATGGGACCAAAAATCCATATAGTTTCAAGAAAATTAATAAAACCTTCAAATCCAACTCCAAAGCATCTTCAAAGCTTCAAGTTATCTTTATTTGATCAACTTGCTCCTTCATATCATATCAAGATCATTCTCTATTATAACAACATTGGAGAAAACAAAGCTGCTAATAATTCTCAATTACTTACACAATTGGAGGAACCATTGGCCCACACTTTATCCAAGTTTTACCCACTAGCTGGTAGACTTGTCAAAGATCAAGAACATCTCTTTATTGATTGCAGCGACCAAGGTGTTGAATATTTAGAAGCTAAAGTTGATGGGACACTAGCTGAGTTGCTTCGTCAAGGACTTGATGTTGAAAATTTGGATCAACTTTTACCACAAGAAGTTGGTCCAGCTGACTCTGCCACTAGTCCATTAGTGACTATCCAAACTACTTTATTTTATTGCGGAGGACTTGCTATTGGGGTGTGCGTTTCCCACAAAGTTGCAGATACTTCCACAGTCCTTTCATTCATCAATGGATGGGCCAAAGCAAATCAAGGAGAGAATATCAATAAGGTACTGTGCCCAGTTTTTCCGTTCCTTCATTGTTTTAACTTAAAAACTCTATGGTTCAAAACATTCCTGAACTTGCTGAATACATGGAAGTGAAAATCGTAATGAGAAGATTTCTGTTTGACGGGTCTGATATTGCTAGACTTGAAGAGTTATTCAAGGAAAATGCAACTACTGACCGAGAAATCCAACCTACACGAGTGACATTGGTGACTGCTGTCATATGGAAGGCTTTAATCAGTATGGCTCAAGCCATACATGGCCAATTACGGCCTTCTTTACTAGTCATTGTTATTAACTTGCGGGGAAGAACTGCAGTTGTTCCCATATCCAAAAATGCTTTTGGGAACTCTTGGACTACACTCATTGCTCGCTTTACTCCAACGGGGAATATATTAGAATGGTTTCATTTGGTACCACTGCTGTCCAATGCAGTGAGAAACACTGCCAAGTTCATTAGTAAAGCAAGTAGTGAGGAGATTTCTTTGTTAGCAGCTACGACTTTTAAAGAGGAACAGGAAGGATTTTTGAAAAACAGCGGCATTGATGCATTTATATGTACCAGTTGGAGTAAGTTACCAGCATATGATGCTGACTTTGGTTGGGGAAGGCCTTCTTGGGTTAGCAGTGCACGTCGCTGCTGTGAAATGATCACTCTGTTGGATAGCAAATGTGGTGACGGAATTGAAGCATGGGTGTCTTTGAATGAGAAAGACATGTATGAACTTGAACGTGATAAAGACATTTGTACTTTTATTTCGTCGCAATAAATCATCTAAAAACAGTTAATTCACATCGTAGCAAGTTGTTGACTTTGTTATTTTTCTCTGGCCTTTCTTTATATTAGAACTGATCAGGACAGGTAATGTTGTTTTACATAACAGTAGAATGAAAGATACAGCAATTCATTGAAAATACATTTACTGTGAAGCTTGAGTCATTGAATAATTGTTGCTCGTGAGAGCTTGAAGTGGAGCTAGTAGTATCACCAGCAAAGTGTGATTTTGACCGCTTTGGGTTTCGCCATGGCTGGAGTTTGATCCACTTTCTATGGATTATAGGTTCTCTTGAAGTAAATATACATGCCAGTTGCATATTTTGGAGATTGGAAATAATCCGTTGTAAATGAGAAAAGTCAGCACAAGATAATTAAAGCACCTAAATTTAATCTACCTTGTTTGAATCACATGTTCTCTTGTAGGAAAGTTACATGCATCATGAATATTTTCGAGATTGTGGATGAGATTCCTTTGTAATGAGCAAATTCAAAACATGATAATTAAAGCACCTAAATTCTTTATGAAATTTATGTCGTGTTCATTACAAACGAGGGGAATAAACTAATGCCAACTAGTACAAAGTTGATGAAATGCGGAACATGTCTAAGGATGGGATTAGGCCTCTGTAAGAGAACCTGTTGACTGAGGAATATTTTAAGAACAACTTGAAATTCAGAAATCAACAAAACATAAAAAGAACTCTAGTCCAGAAATTTTGCCCCTTTTTATTTTTAGATATTTCCTTATTAAGAAAAATTCAGAGCTCTTTTTGTTTGTCTTTTTTTCTGTAGTGGATTTCAGGTTGTCAAGTCAATCCTTATGGCCAAGTTGGAGATTCAAATTCAGACAAGGAAAACGGTAAGGCCCTCAACTCCTACCCCAGACCACCTTTGGTTCCTCAATCTTGCATTGTTTGATCAGCTAGCTCGTCGTATCTATGTACCAGTACTACTCCACTACTTCTACTTGCCGAGCAGTGAATGGAACAGCGCAGAAAACACTGAAAGATATGATAAGCTGCAAAAATCTTTGGCTGAGACCTTAGCCAAGTTTTACCCTCTAGCAGGAAGATTTAGAAAAGATGACCTCTCAATTCACTGCAATGATGAAGGTGTTGAATATGTTGAAACCAAAGTCAATGCGATTCTTCCATGGTTGAGCTTTTGGACGATCTTCTTCCGAAAACAGATCTGCCATCAAGTCCATTACTTGGAGTACAAGTGAACATATTCAATTGTGGAGGCCTAGTCATTGGAATACAAATTTCTCACATCGTAGCAGATGCTTTCACGTTAGCAACATTTGTCACGTAATGGGCACACATTAGCCAAACAGGAACGACAAAGGGCTGTCTCTCAAGCTTCGGTCACTTGCAATCGCTCTTTCCCACAAGAGTGCTATCAGTACCTCAGCCTTCACCACCTTCCAACAGAGGCGCTAAGATTGCCAGAGGAAGGTTTGTGTTTAATGCTTTAGCAATAGCAAAGCTGAAAGACAAAATTGGCTCAAGTGCCACATTCACAAAACCTACTCGAGTGGTGGTGGTTATGTCGTTAATATGGAATTCTAGTGGGCATTTCCACATCCAAACATGGACAATCAAGGGACTCTACTTTATTCTTTCCCATAAATTTGAGGGGAAAATCAAAGATAACATCTACAGAACATGCTCTAGGGAATTTCTTGATGTCTGGAATTGCTACTCTCGAGGCTAACAAATCAAGAACAGAGTTGAATGATTTTGTTAACTTGGTAGGAAATGCATCAAGGAACACATCTGTAGGCATTGGTAAGGCAAGCATCGATGATATTACCTCTATGGTTGTTAAAAATAACACAGAATTTTCAAACAAGTTTGGTCAGAAAGACAAAATGGACATTTATGCTATGACTAGTTGGTGCAGATTCCCCTGGTATGAAGCCGACTTTGGCTGGGGAAAGCCATTCTGAGTGAGCTCTGTGGATCGATCTATGGAATTAATTAGTCTGTTTGACACAAAAGATGGTGATGGAATAGAAGCATGGTTAGGTTTGAATGAGAATGATATGACTGAATTCGAGAGAGACCCTGACATTTTGACATATTGTCCTCCACTTCAGAAGTAGCATTTGATTCCTCAAATTGGATAAATTGAAACTGCATTTGTCCAGTTGACAATTGTTTATGGTCTGTAACTGGTGTTCCAAATTTTAAGTGTTCTCTTTCATCAGAATTATTTTTCTGCTGTTTGGGATCCTATAAAGAAATTGCTTACATTGATCCAGAACCTGCTAAGCCTTTTTAGGGACTGAGATTTAGCTTTAGTAATTGGCTAATCTTTCTCTTTTTGAGTTTGATGTTTAGATATTAAGATAATTGAGATTTAGCTTAAGTGGTTTTTTTGCCACTTCATTTCTGTTGTTCATGCTCTGAGAATTGCATCCGAATTGAATGGTTTGAAATATCTTGCAGGCATGCTAAAATGTGTAACATATTTTACCAGAATGCAAAGAAGTTTACTCATTTTACGGTATGTCACCATTAAATAGATGACAAAAGAAAACATATTTTTTGTAAGGAATTTAAATTCACTAGCACAACTCCAAGTTTAAGGCAACCTTTACTTTTTCCATAAAATTCACTCATGTCCCGCTTTCACGTATCTGAAAAACTTATCTCCTCCTATTTACTTCATGATGTGAGATTTTCGAAATTCACCATATTACATATTTTATAGAGCCAAACCCTAGTAGCCAAATGCCTTGCTATTAGTTAGGCACCTTGCATTGGTAGTTAGACGTCACATTTTAATCAATTCCATAGTTTTGGAGTTCAATAAACAACAATAATTACTTAAAGAGCAACTTGTGCAAAACTCATTGCGCATATAAAATATGTGACTTCATTTTGATAAGTAAACTTGACTTTTATATTTACAACAACAACAACTCAGTATAATCTCACTAGTGGTGTCTGGGGAGGATAGTGTGTACGCAGATCTTATCCCTACTCTGGGATAGAAAGACTATTTCCGATAGACTCTCGGCTCACTCCCTTGACTATTATATTTGCAAAGTGCAAATAGAGATGGAGACTATGTTGGTGCTTGCTCGGACATGACTTCCATCAAACGCATGGAAAGGTATCAGCGTTATCACAAAAGGTAACAAAAGGGGGGAAAAAACATACTCGTATTCTGTGCAATGAAATTTTAACCATGATTAATTAAACGTTATCATTTAACCGTTAAACGATATATACTCTCACGCTAATTTATGGTTTGAACTTTGATGACATAAATAAGTATTTTTCCCCGCGTAAGGTTTCTTGATGTGAAAGGATTAGACCACTTCCAATTTGTGGCATCCAATTCTAACCAATGACCAACTTTTAAAGAAAGTCCCCTTTGTGTCTCATTTCTTTTTACTTAGGGAAAATGGCCAAATATACCCTTCTATCTTAATTTAACTCATGTTATATTATCGGATCAAATTTACTCTTATCGTTATATTATCGGGTTAAATTTATCCCTACACTCAGCAAACTTTTAAAAATAACCCTTGATCTGTTAAGTAATCCAAAATCTTCCAAATTCCTTTTATTTAAATTACTTGTTGTTCTTCTTGGTCCACTATTTTAATTTCAAAAATTACTATTGATGTGAATGCTAAAGTTAATAGACTATACAAATTATTCATAATTCCTTTTATTATCAATGCACCCATTTCTCTTTTTGTAATAAATAAAATTGGTTTAAAATTTTATTTATTTTTCAATCATTTACATACCGTAGAATTTAGTGGATCTATTTATTGTGTATTACGCGTAACTGATCATCATGTATGTACATGTATATTCAAATATATTTTGTCATTGTCTGGTTAGTATAGAGTTCGATCGACTAACTTAAGAGTACAAAATGTGTAGGCATTTAACTAAAATAAAGTTGAATTAGACAATGTAAAGTCTTCGAGGAACTTCAACTTCAATCACTAATAATTGCAAAGTCTCCATACATTTGGTGCAACGAATTCATTAAAATTTGGATGTTGCAAATACTTTTAGAATTTAGAAAAGTTACCTAATTTAGATTTTTCAATTTACTATACTTTGTTTATTCGGTTCTATTATTTAATATTATTTTCTCTTATTTTGTTTTCTCTAATTCAGAAAGCAGGTAAATGCCAATTATTTCAAAAATAATGGACCAAAAAGAACAACAAGTAATTTAAATAAAAGGAATTTGGGAGATTTTGGATTATTTAACAAATCAAGGGGTATTTTTAAAAGTTTGCTAATTGTAGGGGTAAATTTGGCCCGATAGTATAACGGTAGGGGTAAATTTGGTTTGATAGTATAACAGAGGTTAAATATAGACAATATATGAAAGTAGAGGGGTATATTTGACCCTTTTCCATTTCCCTTATTTTGTCTTTTCTTCTGGCTAGTCATATGCCCCTCTGAAGCGGAGCCTTGGCGGAACTGGTAAAGTTGCTGTCATGTGACCAGGAGGTCACGGGTTCAATCCGTAGAAACAGCCTCTTGCATAAATGCAGGGTAAGGCTGCGTACAATAAACCCTTATGGGTCGGCCCTTCCCCGGACCCCGCGCATCGCGAAAACTTAGTGCACCGGGCTACCCTAGTCATATGCCCCTCTGGCACATATATGGATGATCAATTCTTGGCAACAAAAAGAAAAAGTGCTCTTTAAACTGAGGGTGTGTTTGGTATAATGAAAAATATTTTCCGTGGAAAACAAGTAGTAATTTTACTCATTTTTCGGTGTTTGGTACGCAAATTAAGGAAAATAACTTCTCAAGAGTATTCATAAATAATTTAGATACAATAAACATGAAACCATAAACTTTCGAACTAACAACCTTTCGCACCCACAAATTCCATAAACTTCCGAACCCCTAAACTTTCGAACACGTAAACTCTATAATTTTTAAACCCGCAAACTTCCAAACACATAAACCTCCGAGCTTATAGCTTTGAAACTCGTAAAATTTCGAACCTGTAAACTGAAAAATAAAAAAACCAAAACTGAAATCTGAAAAAAAAAGAAAAAGAAAAAACCTTTTTGGAGAGAGGTGAAGGGGGTTGGGGGTTAGATGTGAGGGTAAGTGGAGTTTTTGAAAAATGTTTTCCTAACTTTTTCTAGGAAAGTCATTTTTCTCCAATTTCAGAAAAATATTTTCCAAACTATTTTGTGCAACCAAACAGCAAAAAATGGGAACATTTCCGTCATACCAAACACACCTTGAAAGTGAAAAAATTCTCCACTTAAGCCTATTTACGAACACCTTTTAATTTTCAAAATACCAATATGCTGCTGCATCATCTTTGGGCAACTTTAAGGTTCAGCTAACTACTTATTATCAGTAAAAGGAATCAAACCAACATCCATCATGTTTAAATTGCCAACAATGACTCATTAACATCAAGTTGCTACCAAGCGTTACAGCCTATAGCAAGATTCCAAATACATTCAGCAATGCAAGAAATACACTCTCTTTCAATGTCTTTTTCCTCCTTTTCACTAACCCTTGAGATGGGACCAAGGACAAAGTGAATCGCGTTACTTTCTTATCAATGCTAATATACATTTAAGGACAAGAAGAATGTCCATATACATAATCTTCACCAAGAAATCATTATTCCATTACAAGCAGCAATAAAACTATGACTAAGATATGAATTATTTGTTATGGTATCCCGAGTTTGCATCCAGGTGATTGCTATGTCTCCAGCAAGTTGTTCACCAACAAGAACATCTTATCAGTTCCCAAGCCTAGAAACATTAATATGTTATGAATTCTATATAGTAGAAATATTCTCCGCGCTTGGTTTACCATTTGATGTGCTGGTGCTGGTGCTGGTTGCAGGGCGAATAAGGTCCAACCCATATACATGGCCCATTTTAGCACGTTTTGTTTCCAGATATTTCTTGTTTTCTTTTGTAATGGGACACAGAAGTGGGACCCTACCAGAAATTGCCAAACCATAACCCTTAAGCCCTCTATATTTTGCAGGATTGTTTGTCATCAACTTCATGGTTCGAACACCAAGATCCCTCAACATCTGCAGAAGGATACAAGTTTAGCTTTGCTATATGATACGTAGATTTACATACAATTTACAGCATGATGCAGAAAGAGCTCATATGTACACCAGATTTTTTTTTTTATAGAAAGTAAGTACCTGCGCACCAATCCCATACTCTCTTGAATCAACGGGCAAACCAAGCTCTTCATTTGCTTCGACAGTATCACGTCCAGCATCTTGTAAATTATAAGCGCGAAGTTTGTGACCCAAACCAATTCCTCTACCCTCATGACCACGGAGGTAAACCAAAACCCCCCTGCCAGCAGCCTCAATTTGTTGCATTGCAAGCGCCAGCTGGTTCCCACAGTCACATCTGGCTGAACCGAATATATCTCCTGTGAGGCACTCTGAGTGTACGCGGACAAGAATATCTTGGCCGTCTCCAATATCTCCCTGTTCATTCCACAAACTCGTCCAAAATCAGTCCCAAACACGAAACGAACTTTGCCAATTAGATATTACCATAGTTTGCATTAATATAAATTTGCTACAAGGATGCCAAACTGTAAGATGGTGTAAGATACAATAGCACACGTGCTCTTCCCCTTTACAATTAAGAAAAAAGATGGAACCTCATGTTTCTACTAGATATACCTAGTTTTGTGATTACTGCTGAAGATAGATGAGAGAATATCCCCAAAGGTGCTCACCTTAACCATAGCAATGTGCTCAATTCCATCTATTATTGACTTGAAGCAATGGGCAGTGAATGGGCCCCACATAGTAGGTAATCTTGCAGCAGAAGCATGCTCTACCAACTGATCTCTTTTCCTCCTATATCTGTATAAAAGGAAGTTCTTGTCAGATGATATACCAAAAATTTAATGTAGTAGAAACAAGTGGAAGAGGGGCTAAAAGAATGCTTGCTTTCAAGCAAACT